TCCCAAATCTTGATAAAAACCTAATCTCTTTTTAATGATGATGCCTTGGTAAAGGAGAAGGTTTGATGAACTAAAGTAATGAGATTGATGATGCCTTGGTAAAGGAGAAGGCTTGATGAGTTGATAGAATGAGATTAGGGGATCGGGTGTCACGAACCGACACGTAGAATTAGGGGATCGGGTGTCACGAACCGACACGTAGATTTAGGGGATTGGGTGTCACGAACCAACACGTAGATTTAGGGGATCGGGTGTCACGAACCGACATGTAGATTTAGGGGATCGGGTGTCACGAACCGACACATAGATTTAGGAAATCGGGTGTCACGAACCGACACGTAGATTTAGGGGATCGGGTGTCATGAACCGACACGTAGATTTAGGGGATCGGGTGTCACGAACCGACACTTAGATTTAGGGGATCGGAGTGTCACGTACCGACACAAGAGGATTAATGAATATGAGGGAGTGGAGTGTCACGTACCGACACAAAAGAAATAAAGATAATGAATCTTGAAAGATGTTAATATACTCCATCTAATGAACATGATTCCCAAATGAGTACGGTATTGAGGCTTGAGTCCTCATGTGTGAAATTGACAGTAATTGTAAATGATATAGTGCTTGTTGTTGCTACATGTTGAGTATCATAGTTGATTTTATTATATTACTTGGTATATATTGTTTTCTATTTTGAGTTGGCCGATGATATCTGCTCAGTACCCGTGCTTTTTACTGACCCCTACTTTTATGTTTTCTTCTTGTTATTTGTGGAGTGCAGCAAACGTGTCGTCGTCTTCAACTCAACAGTAATTCTAGCCAGTCTTCGTCACACCGGATCTTCAGGGTGAGCTAACGCTTCTAGCTTGGACTGGATCTTCTCCTTCATGTCTTGATGCGTTGAACTTCCGGCATGGACTAGCTTTTATTTGTTTTAGCTTTTTAGAATACTCTTAGTTTAGTACTTTGATCATAGATGCTCTTGTGGTGATGACTTCAAGATTTTGGGGATAATAATAGTTATTGATTTTATTAATGAGTTTATGTCTTCCGCATTACTTTATGTTGATATTACATTGAAATGTTAAGGTTTAGGTTGGTTGGTTCACTCACATAGGAGGGTAAGTGTGGGTACCAGTCGCGGCCCGGATTTGGGTCGTGACAATGATAGGCACAATTTTTGGATAGATCAAAGTTTGAAGTAGAATTCTTGGGAATCCATCCATTTATTGGTCTTAGAAGTCCTTTAGCCCATAATCTCTGAAAAATGTCGGTCAAAGTTTCCTTTAAAGGAGTGAAGACACGATGTTTCCTCACCTTATCTTGAGATACCAGAGGGTTGGAAGGCTCAAGAGTAGCATGAATTTGCTCAGTATTCTGATTTCTTTGTTTTTGAGATATATAGGTTGATGCATCTTCGTTCCTTTCATCTAATGAGTCTTTCAGGACTTGAAAAGATTTTTGTGTATCAGCAATTCTTCCAGACTGAATGCCATATTATAACTCTTTTCCAATTCGAATTAGACTGTCGAAACTTTGAATACCAGCAAAGAATAGGGTTTTGTAGTATATACTCTCAAGTGATCTGATGAGATTTTATACCAACTCCTCTTCATGCGGTAAGTGACGTATCTTAGAGGCTTCCATTCTCCATCGTATGACATATTCCTCAAAAGATTCATGACTTAATTTCTTCAATTTGAACAAATTTAACATTGTAGGGTCAACCTTGTTATTAAACTTGTATTGTTCAACAAAGTCTCGAGCCATGTCTTCCCATGCGAGCCATTTGTCGAAGTCTTATTTGACGTACCAAGTGAAGGCTATTCCTGATAAGCTTTGAATAAATAACCTCATTAGGAGAGGTTCATTGTTTTCTAAGCCAACTAGCCTGCTGCAAAAATCTTTGAGATGTGCCATTGGATCCCCACGTCCGCCGAACATGTTGAATTTTGGAATTTTAAATCCCGACGGCAATTCAACTCCTGGGTGTAGACATAAATTTTTATACCTTAGGTCATGAGTAGGTATTGAGTTTAATCCTCCATTCACCTTTTTATCCAAGTCATGCATTTTTCGCTGCAGTGCATCTAGCTTAGACTTCTCTATTTTGTCACCTATTCACTCATATTGTGAAGCATCAAAATTGAGGCGTGTTGGAGACCTTTGTTGAGAGAGGGTGTGAGTAGGAATAGGATGAGGAGAGATGGTCGAAAAGGTACTTTGTGTTGGATGAGAAGATGGGTGATTTTTTCGAAGGTTGAACATATTTGTTATATTGCAGAATCTTAGTCGAGCCAATTATCCAAATACTAGACAACCTTTAGTCAAAGAAGTAAATCAAACACAAAATCGAGTTATTATATAGTGAGCCAAAATTATAATATCAAATGTATGACACAATAAACTCAAAGTGGGACAATTATAACAATTAATAGAATAAGGTCACATAATTAATTCAAGTTATACTTTGCCAATTTGAAGTTTAGAGTCAAAGAAAGATTTTAACTCCATTTTGACATAATGACTTGATTTAAAATATGATGATCAAATTGACACATAAATATGCAATTTGTCTAAAGGGTGTTGGGGCCCTTTAGACAATAGGGCGGCTACTAATTATATGGATTGACGCCAAGGGTCAAACCACCTAGGGTTTATGCAACATGTATGACCTAACAAGGAATTCTAAGAGTTGTCTTGACGCGGACTTGAAAGAGATTCTATGCGAGAGGCTCGCGGTTTCGCGATAGTAAAACTATCTGTTACGTCCACGCATACTATGATGGGTATTTGAATAGAATTGGAGTAGTTGTGAGAGTTGCAAAGGCACAACATCACGAAGAAAAAAAAGGAGAGGGTCCCAATTGGGGGAAATATGAGCGGAATGCCAGTTATCAAAGCAATAAACACTTTGCATTTAAATTTGAAAGTGGTAACATATAAGCATTTTATAAAATAATAAATAAATAAGCATAAATAAATAAAAGGAATTTAAACATATAAAGGTGTAAAAAAATCACGCAAATAAGGAAAGAGGATATGAGATTAAATGTAGTAAACAAATAAGGAAAATGGTGGAATGTGAAACATGGTAATAAACAAATAAGAATGGAGAAAAGGGGTGGAACATGAAAAGAACATAGTAAACAAGGCAACAAAATGATAGCTAAATAAGATGAACACCTAACAAATAATGAAATAAATAATATAAAGTAAACCCCACATAAATAAGCATGAAACACGTGATGTAAGAACCTAATATCCCCAGCAGAGTCGCCATTCTGTCGCGCTCTATTTTCGCAGAAAATGAGTTTTGTGCACGACCTAACAACTCTTTTGGGATTTTCGAGTTTGGAGTCGCCACCTAACGAATTAAGGCGCGTTAGGGCACCTATCTAACCTTACTAAGTCTAACTAAGGTCAATGAGCCAGAGATTAGGGTAAGGGTTCAAATTACCTCGAAGGGAAGGTGTTAGGCATCCCTCGAGGTCCACAAGTGTGGGTCCCGGCCGTATCTCATGCAATCTATGTTGGGGTTACAATTAGCAATCAAAGTCACTTCATTTATTAATTTATTTAATCTTGCTAAGTGATATAAAACAATTAATACTATTTTATTATTTTTCATTAATTTGAGCATGCAAGGCTAGGTTATAGCAATAAATAAACAACCAAGTTTTATTTTTATTTAGCATATGAGACTATGTTATAAACAAAATTGGCAAATATTAAGCAATTAATATGTGCGAAAGTAAAGTTTGAAAATTCATGAGTTTTGAGTAGGAATTTTTATTTTTTTTAAAAGATATTTGTTTCTTTGTAGGGATGATGCCACGATATTGTTGATCGCGCTCCTCCACCATTGAAACAATTTTGATTTGAGGTCGGTCTTAAAAAAAAATAGTTTATATTTTTGAAAAAATGATTTAAAAGATTTAGTTAGCATATAGGCACATAAACATTTACATATAAATACACATAATTTCTTTTGAAATTCATGGGTAAGTGGTACTTCCGGGGACGCGTCGTGTTTAAAAATTGGAACTAGACCTCGTAGTTCCTTTTGACTTTCCCACTAACGATAGGTTTGGAGATAGTGCTTATAATTTATTTTTCAAAATAAACAATGTCAAAATCAATCCAAAGTTTTAAAGGAAGATTAAATAATGACTTCTTTTAAGAAAATTATATTGCAAGGTTTTGATATGAAATATTTTTTTAAAAAAACCAAGTAATTTGTTAAATGCATGAAATGATTCTAATTTATTATCACTATTATTTTAAGAAAACAAAATATTGCATCATAAATGCGGAAATTTTCAAGGGGACAAATAAGATTACTAATTAAATAATATTAACTAATTTTAGGGGGAGGACACAAATATGCACAAATAAATTTTATTTTTAATGGATATGTTAAAGTTTAAACCTATAGACATGATTTTTAAGTGTTCAAAAAAAAGAAAACAGAGTAACACATATATGCATGATTTTGTAAATCTTAATGATATGAACAGTTTAATCCTTAGGCATGGTTTCTACGTGACAAGACAATGCTAAAAAAGATTATAACATTTTTGAAACACCTAATCAGCCTACTAAATTATTACGATTTGATTTTAACATAAAAAAATTAATGGAGTATAGTTATTTTTTAAGACTTATATAACAAAAGCGTCAAGCAAATTGAAAATTAGTTAGATTATAACACCTACAAACAATAATTCTAGGTGGTTAAAGATAAACCTATAGGCATGATTTCTAACTTTTTAAAAAAAATCACAACGAACAAATAGTCGTGTAAATCCCCCTCCCCTAGATGATCCCCCAAATAAATTTATATATATATATATATATATATGATCTTCACGGTTGATCTTCAACTTGAACTTCAAGTTTGAAACTTGGACAGATCAATTGTGATCAATCACCCGCGGATCGAAATATTTTTGAATGGTTGAAACTCTTGTCTGAACCGCTGCCAGTTGCTGGAGTTTATGGCTGCTGGTCGTCCCTGTTGGAGAAGAGAAAAGAAAAGAAAGAGAAGAGAGCAGAAAACTCACCGGAGTTCCGCCATAGCTGCTGGTCGGAGTAGTTGCTCCTCACCGGACTAAGCTGCTGCCTGTCGCTTGTCCGATGGTCGCCTGATGCTGGTGATCCTGCAAATGTAAAAGAGAAAAAGAAAACAATAAGGGGAAGGGATAAAAGAACGGGAGGAGAAAGAGAGAGGGCGGCTGCTTTTGTCCGTTTGCTAATGCTGCTCTCCACAGCTGCGGGTGTTGTTAGAGCTGCTGGCTGGCCGTTTTTGTCTTTGCAGCTGTTGCCGGTTGGTCGGAGAATGGGAAGGAGGGGAATGGGCGGACAGAGGAGAAGAGAGGGAGAGAGGGGGCGGCTAGAGAGAGGGAGAGAGAGAGAGGGGCGGTGGCTGGTGAGAGGGGAGGAAGAGAGGAGAAGGGACGATGGAAGAGGGAGAAGAAGAAGGGGTGGCGGCTGCCGGAAAAGGGAGAGGGAAGGGAGAAACATAAAAGGGAGGCGGAGCGAGGGAAAAGAGAGGAAGATAAAGGAGAAAAAATGTTTTAGGTTTTGGGGTCTTTTGTGTTGAAGAATGTCACGACCCAAAACCGGGCCGCGACTGGCACCCACACTTACCCTCCTCTGTGAGCGAACCAACCAATCTAAACTCTAGCATTTCAATGTTATATCAACAGAAAATAATGCGGAAGACTTAAACTCATAATTAAAAACCAATTCAATAACTTCTAAAATTCAACATCTATTATTCCCCAAAATCTGGAAGTCATCACCACAAGAACATCTATGATCAAATGACTAAACTAAGAGTATTCTAAAAGCTAAAACAGGTAAAAGCTAGTCCATGCCGGAACATCAAGGCATCAAGACAGGAGGAAGAAAGTCCAGTCCAAGCTAGAAGCATTAGCTCACCCTGAAGATCCGATGTGATGAAGACTGACTAGAATTGCGGTTAAGTTGAAGACGACGGCACGTTTGCTACACTCCATAAATAACCAGAAGAAAACATAAAAGTAGGGGTTAGTACAAAACACGGGTACTGAGTAGATATCATCGGCCAACTCAAAATAGAAAACAATATGCATCAAGTAATATCATAAAATCAACTATGATACTCAACATGTAGCAACAACAAGTACTATATCATTAACAATTATCGTCAAGTTCACACATGAGGACTCAAGCCTCAATACCATACTCATTTGGGAATTAGATTCATTGGATTGAGTATATTAACATCTTTCAAGATTCATTATCTTTATTCCTCTCGTGTCGGTACGTGACACTCCGATCCCCTAATTCTACGTGTCGGTTCGTGACACCCGATCCCTTAATTCTACGTGTCGGTTTGTGACACCCGATCCCCTAAATCTACGTGTCAGTTCGTGACACTCGATCCCCTAAATCTACGTGTCGGTTCGTGACACCCGATCCCCTAAATATACGTGTCGGTTCGTGACACCCGATCCCCTAAATCTACGTGTCGGTTCATGACACCCGATCCCCTAATTCCATTCCATTAATTCCTCAAGCCTTCTTTTATACCAAGGCATCTTCAATCTCATTACTTTAGTTCATCAAGCCTTCTTTTATACCAAGGCATCATCATTAAAAAGAGATTAGGTTTTTATGAAGATTTGGGATTCAATAACTTCATCATGCTTAATATAATCACAATTATATAATCACGTTCAAGCATGCATACAATTAAGCACATAGCAGGGTTTACAATACTATCAATACATATCATTCTCTATAAAGAGTTTACTATGAAAGCATGAAAACCATAACCTACCTCCACCGAAGATTAGTGATTCAAGCAAGAAATTTTCTCAATATCTTGGCTATCCTCTTCGTTTTCTCTCTCTCTCGATCGTTTCTCTCTTTCTCCTCTGTTCTTTCTATTCTTTTCTTATTCTAACCCTCCTTCTTTTACCCTAATTAACATGTAATTAAGTGTAAAAGATGACAATAATAACCCACAATTTTGCTCAAGGTTACATCTTTTATCCCCCAAGAAATTGAGTTATTAATATAGACCTACTAAATATATAATTATAGCAGGAATAGTCCAAAACGCCCCTTTAAAACTTAACCAGAAATCGAACTCCGACTGGGATTACGCAACCTGTGATGGCCCATCGCGCCTGCGACGGTCCATCATGCAGGTTCGTAAGAGACTCGATTTCCTTAAGGAGTCTGTGACGGCCCGTTGACCTACGACGGTCCGTCCTGCACTTCCGGCACGACGTTCAGAGAATCGTTCCCTGTACCAAATTCTCAGGAGTTGAAGTGTTTTGAAACAGTGGATTACGACGGTTCGTCGTGCCTGTGACGGTCCGTCCTGCAGATCCGTCATGGAGTTCAGAGAGTCGATTTCAGCACCCAAATTTCAGAATTTCTAAGTGTTTTGGGATGAGACACCCTCGACGGTCCATCGTGCCCATGACGTTCCGTCGTGGGTTCCGTTGTCTCAGCCTGTTTTTCCAGAATTAAAATCTGCTGCTCAAAACGACTAAACAGGTCGTTACATTAGATACGAATTTAGCCATCGTTCGTCCCTGAACGATCACAAGAAGGAAAACAAAGGCGAAAAGGAGTATCTTAATTTGTAAACAGATGTGGGTATCTTCCTTGCATATCTGCCTCCTTCTCCCAAGTGGCTTCTTCAACCGGTCGATTCTTCCATTGCACTTTGATGAATGCTACCTCCCTTGACCTCAACTTGCAGACTTCTCTATCCAAAATAGCAACAGGCTCCTCCTCATAAGACAAATTTTCATCAAGCAGGACTGAATCCCAATGAATAATATAGTTTCCATCCCCATGGTATCTTTTCAACATCGACACATGCAATACCGGATGTACTCCGGACAGCCCTGGAGGCAAGGCTAACTCATAAGCCACCTCCCCTACTCGCTTAAGTACTTCAAATTGTCCAATATACCTTGGACTTAGCTTACCCCTTTTACCAAACCGCATCACCCCTTTCATGGGCGAAACCTTCAGCCAAGACTTGTTCTCCCTCCATGAACTCTAAGTCTCTAACCTTTCGATCTGCATATTCTTTTTGCTACTTTGCCGCCGTTAGAAGCTTTTCTTGAATAGATTTCACCTTCTCCATCGAATCCCTCAAGAGATCAGTACCCCAAGGTCTAACCTCGAACGCATCAAACCAACCAATGGGGGACCTACATCTCCTACCATACAATGCTTCAAATGGAGACATATCAATGCTTGAGTGATAGCTATTATTGTATGAAAATTCCGCTAAGGGTAAGAAGCTATCCCAATGGCCTCCAAACTCTATCACACATGCGCGAAACATATCCTCCAACACTTGAATTGTTCGCTCAGACTGACCATCGGTCTGAGGATGGAACGCGGTACTAAGGTCCAACCTAGTACCTAATTCAGCATGCAATGTTCTCCAAAACTTGGAAGTAAACTGCATACCTCTATCTGATATGATTGATAGTGGAACCCCATGCAACCGAACAATTTCTGAGATATAGATTTTGGCTAACTTCTCTGCATTGTAAGTCACCTTGACCGGAATGAAATGAGCAGACTTAGTTAAACTATCAACAATCACCCACATGGAATCGTACTTACCCATCGTCTATGGAAGACCAACCACGAAGTCCATTGCGATTCTATCCCATTTCCATTCCGGAATGGGCATTCTCTGAAGTATTCCTCCACGCCTTTGGTGTTCATACTTTACTTGTTGACAGTTTGGACAATTGGCAATAAAATCCACAATATCACGCTTCATTCTACTCCACCAAAAGTGTTGCTTTAGGTCACGGTACATCTTGGTTGCACCCGGATGTATCGAATACCTTGAACCATGAGCCTCTGTTAGAATAGTGTTGATCAAATCATCGACGCGGGGTACGCATACCCTTCCTTTGATCCTCAAAACACCTTCCTCATCGATTTGTGCTTCCTTAGCCTCTCCTCACAATACTTTATCTTGGATTCTGCGCAGTTTCTCATCATCAGACTGTCTTCCCTTAATCTTTTCAAGAAAGGAAGATCTTGCCTCCACAGAAGAGCCAACAATCCTCCCTTCGCATTTACTTCTAATCTCATCAAGTCATTAGCTAGAGTCTGAACCTCTCTAGCCAATGGGCGTCTAGAAGCTTGCAAGTGATCTAGACTTCCCATGCTTTCCGCCTTTCTACTTAAAGCATCCGCTACAACATTCGCCTTCCCCGGATGATACAGAATAGTGATGTCGTAGTCCTTCAGTAGTTCCATCCATCTCCTCTGTCTCAAGTTCAAATCTTTCTGAGTAAAGACATACTGTAGACTACGATGATCCGTATAGACCTCACACTTAACCCCATATAAATAGTTTCTCCATTTCTTTAATGCAAACACTACCGCAACCAATTCCAAATCATGAGTTGGATAGTTACGTTCATGCACTTTT